GTCAGGGCAGACAAACGGGCAGTGACATCAAAATCAGAATCTTTGCTGCCACACAACCAAGGCCAATGGAATTTTTGTTGTCACAGCTAATTCCGTTGGCGGTACCATGACAATAGCAACTAATAATTAGGGTATAACGCAGATATGCAAATGTGCAAATCTGTGAAAAGCATCATTTGCTTTGAGCCTAGAAAGTGGTTTTGGCCACCTCTGGAGGGAGGTCTGGTGTCCTCCTCTGTCGTGTTAAATCTGTCGTGTCCATTGCAACTGAGGACTTTGTATTCTAGCTAAAATATACAGATTTATGTTTGCAATAAATCACAATTGTGCAGCACGATCCCGTCAGCCTGCACATTGGTCATTCCTTCAGAGAACCAACTCGCACAGAGCGTGGATTTCGTCTAACGCTGGTCTTCCTCCAGCTTTAAAAATACTAGGAAAATTTGACTGCAAAAAGTGAAATGTGGTAACTCTATTCAGCATATAATGTAAAGCTGTCCTGATTGAAGCCTAGGGGCTGGGAATCGCCCATTCTCAAGGGCAGCATTGTCTGTGTGGCTCAGAGTTACATTTTAATTAACTGATTTAACTGATTACGAACACCAAGGGGACATTGCTCCCTAAACAAATAATTCCTTAAACGACGAGGGGGTCCTGGACGAACGCCAGCATAAGCCATTTCTGGATGCCCCTAATGTTGATCTAACCATTCTTTCGAATTTCAGGGTCTGACCATTGGGCAAATTTGCAGCGAGCTGAGGAACTTGTATGTCTTGAAGAACGTTTCGTCCGAATACTCCGTGTCTATGACATGCGAACCCTCGCCTTCAGCCAGCAATGAGATCCACGTGACGATAGTATGTACAAGAAACTTTTTGGTTTTTTTCTCCTCATATTTCTCATAATTGATTGTTTTATTTGGGAGACGTAAGTGTTATGTACACCTCATATAATATACCTCTTGTTGCTGTTCACACTGAAGTATTGTCGAGATTCGGGTTTATAAATGCAAATCATTCGTGTTTCAGTCAACTGATGATCAGAGGCAAGACACGGCGCCCATCAAGGAAATCACGGACAAGATAGTGGACCTTATTAGCAAGCGAAACGCCAACAACACCATCATCATGGCTATAGCAGAAGTACGAGTTCAGAGGAAGCAAACTGTAGACCCCACTGGTAAACAGCTTTTTGGAAATACACCCTCCACCTCCTGCTCACTCTGCTTCCTGTCTCTGTTCACATTGTCATGAGCGCTGGTAGGAAATGAGAGGCCCGGCCTGGCTGGCATGGAGGCCGACAGGGTCGGGAAGGCAGTTTCTGAGTTAGATCCTCTGGCTTTTGTGCGTTGCCACGGTGTGAAGAGAAGCGACAGCTGTAAAGATGGTAGCCTGGGTAGTAAACAGGGAGAAAACACAGGCCCCTTTGCAGAAGACGACCTGCCCCCCCCCCCTCCCCTTTTCAATTGGCCCCCGACTCTCGTTATCACCGTTTAACGGTCAGAACTTAATTTGCCAGGAATTCTATGCATTTCTGCACTCATAAGGGGATTTGGAGCAACATTTGATATTTGGTTTGGAATGGACCTAAACCATCCATCATCGAATGTCTTGAATTTATTAGAGATTCATTGCCTTATCTCCTCTTAGCTAAACTGGTTGTTTGCTTTTACCAAATGTTGACATGAGCTGGAACATTATCTCTGACTGGGCAGTACTTCTGAATAGGGCAATGCTCATGAGATATGATCTCAGAGCAGGGACACGCTTCATAGTTATTGTCCTTCGGGTTCAGAAATTTAAATGGGGTCCGTTGTTTCACGAACTTCAGCCTTGGAAAGGCCTCCAACAGATTTTCCTTTGGCTCCACCTGGTATTTTTATTTTAGTTCTGAACTTAATGAAGAAGTGGCCACACTTCACCGCTTGGGACTTACTGTACAATACGGGGGCCACAAGGAGCTGCCTCCCAGCCAGAAACAGCCAGGCGAATTAATGTTATTCTGTCAGTAATGAACGTCAGTATTATTATTGTGGTTTTTAGCTCACGCTCGCTTTGCTGATTGAGAGGCTCAATATCAGCATGTACAATAACAACTGCCTCTCCAAGGGATTTGAGCCCACAAACCTCAGGTTGCCAGGGTAGCCGGTTGCCGACCCCTCCAAATAACGTTCCTGACCTTCTTCTCTCCTCAGCGAACTACCTGGTGCCCCTGCTGAGCTCCGTGTTCATCGTGACGTGGGCGCTGGCACTGGGCACCGCATTCCTGTGGTGCGTGCGGTGGCGGAGGAAGCAGAGCGCCCACAGCGGGGCGGCAGCACCAGCGCCGGAGGAAAACCCGGCCAACAACGTGCGCGAGCAGCTCAACCAGATCAAGAACCCTATTGAGAAGCACACCGGTGGGCCTCCAAAGGACTACGGGGGCAAGAATGCCATCATTGCCAAATCGAGGACCAATATCGCCGAGCTGGAGGACGAGGATGCAGAGAAGCACGTGCAGAAGGCCATGTTTGCCAAGCAACCGGCCTACACCCTGGTGGACAGGGAGGAGAAGGCACTGCAGAGCACGTCCACGCGGCACCAGAACTGGACAAACAAACAGGACAACAGGGACTTGGAGAGCGCACAGAGCCTGAACCGAGTGGAGTACATTGTATAGCAGGAGGCCTCAGCACCAGCCCATTTCCGTGGGTGAAGGGGTTCTCGGTGTTGTTTTTAAACTGTTGTCATCCTTTGACTAAAGGTTATTATTTACATAGAATCCCTGTGTTAATTTAAGTTTTGACAGGCTGGCTCACACTGGCAAAGATTGCTGCTGTGGTTGGCAGGAGCACCAGGCGCTAAGCTAGTCTCAAGTGCCCTTCTAGAAACCCGGGGCGCCGATGCACGTCAGAGGTACGTCGGCGGCCATTTTGACATCGTTCAGATTCTACTTCCCGTGTGGCGCATGTCCGTGATGCCGCGCTGTCCCATTTGGGCAAGGAATCGGTCATGTGACATGGAATGTCACCCAACGTGCATGTTTGGTCCTATATTTGCAGATCCATGCCACAGCAGCCATCTAAAAGTTTATTATTTATAATTTTCTTTGGGGGGAGGGGTCACGTTAATGTCAGCAGTTGCTGTCAACATGAAGAATTATGTGTTGATTTAGAACATTGTACAGTTATGTAAATATTTTTTTTAATTAATCATTGTGTATATTTGATTTATTAACTTAATAATCAAGAGCCTTAAGTATCATTCCTTTTTTATTTATATGTAATGTTTAGATTTGAAGGTTCTGATGGCTTTGTAAGCATACAGCTTTTTTATTTTTTTGATGGAGAAAAAAATGTTTCATTTTTCATAAATGCCAAAATTTGAAGTGTTTCTGAAAGAAATTTTATTTTTTGACAATATCATAGGCATTTTTGTGCCTTGTCGGGGCAGGAGGGTGGAAGAAGTGGTACATAAAATCGTTTTTGAAATCATTTCAATAGCATCGCATCTTGTAAGTACAGAAAGCATGTGAGGAAACGGAAAAACAAAAATAATGCTGCTTTGGGTTTTAAAGTCTGCTGCTTTGAACACATTGGCTGCCAGAAAATAATAGCAATGATAATTTCAAAGGGAACAAAATCTGCTTCTGTTTCTTTACGGTGTGCGGGTAAAACAAAACTTATTAAAGTATTATGTAAGGTATAATAAAACAGAGAAAGCATGTGTCGGACCAGCAAACATCCTGTGTTACGTATGGCGTGTGGCCCGTCTGTTTTCGTTAGCATAATGTGATAAGCTAGCCCATGAGTACTTGAACGGTAGGAGGGGCCCACAGGGGACGGGCAGATACTCTGCCTTGGCCAATGGGAGCAGGCGCTTCTCTTGTTCACATCCTGTTTTCAAAGAGATTCTTAAAAGAACATGTTAATCTCATTCTGATTAAAACGCATGCTAGCTCCACTGATCCTGTGCGTTATTTTGTCTAGTGTTGCAAAGGAGAGACTCCTTTTTTTCCCCGAGGGCTCTTGGTGGTCATTTCTGAAAGTAATATTTATTAAATATTTTGTATAAAAAAGAAAGATTAAACTTTTTTTTTTGAGGTGGATTTATTTGTCGCAGTTTATGGGTTGCAGACATGATTATGTTTCTTTCTGATGCTGTGTAACTGAAAGTCTTTGGTTTCCTTAAATAAGCACAGGATCTGCACATTTGCATTTATAAAAACGGACAGGAACATGATCCCATGCAAGGCAAATATGCTGATATTTATGACTCGTGCTGTGCTATTTAGCCCACGTTTTACCGTGCGGTATTTTTTTTTTCTGAATCACTTGACATAATCTGTCTGCTTTAAGTTGTTCCAGGTAGCAACAGTCTTAACCTTTATTGCCTTTTTTTGGTGTCTGAATTAAATGTGAATTGGCCTTAATGTTCATATGGAATTCACAATGGCAACAACAATCGCAGTCCTTCTCGAAGCATTATGGTTGTACCCTCATGAGAGTTGTGTGCACAGTGTTCCACTGCCATTAACACGTTAAATGTCACAACAAGAGACTCAAGTTTCACTAAGATGGTGTCTAGACTTAGTGAAGACTAAATTGAGTAAGTCCTCGAAACACAAAGAAGTTTGCCCCCTCTCCAAAGGGATGTCAAGCATTTAGCAAGTCTGGGTATAATATGATGTTGGAAACATGTTTATTCAGGGTTATGATTGTCATGTGACCTATACATTGTGCCGTATAAAGCACTATGCCACAAAATGTGAAGGTTGTCTCTCTATTCAAAAATTAACCCACGTTAAATCTAGTTAATTTGAAAAGCAATATTTTCATATCTTTCGAGTATAAATGTGGGCAGAAGGTTGTTAGGTTAATACGCATTAAAGGTCTGAGAGTCTGAACTTTTGTTGGTTGTTATGGAAGCAGACCTTCATGTGCACCAGGCTTCTGAAGCCTTAGCAGGAAATTACACTGACCTCTCAGGTCATAAAGATGGAAACCTCACATCAGGAACACTGGGTGACCTCACTTCCTTTTGCAAAGAGTTACTTAAACGAGAGCTATTAAGACTAAAGGCTGGGCGACCGGCAGCAGGGCCCCACAGCTCACGAATTTTGCAGTTTCCCGCCATACCTGCCACTCCGCTCGTCAGACATAAACGGACAAGCTCCACGCCGTCGCTCTAACTTCACTCGACTTTCTGCACAGAACTTACAAACCCGTACATTAAGGAAAAACTGTCGTGTAAGATTTCAATATCCCAAAAAAGCTTGTTGTTTTTTGTTTGTCATGGCAACGGGTGACCTATTCTGATTTTACTTAAGAATTTGCCATATTTCACTGCTCTAAAGCAAATTCTACCATCTTGAATGATTGCTTCAGTGACTGCAGTATGACTGGTGGGTGGGAACATTGCTTAAACATATAAAAAGCCACATTAATATATAGTAATAAATGAAGATGTATAAGCAGTGTAAGTGAAATCTACGTCTCTACAGCTGACCTCTTGCCGGCTATGTTCACAAAAACAGCTGTAGAAAAATAGAGGCTATATTGTATTATACTGATGCAATTCTAGCTATCTATGCCAAGTTGATGTAGGGGATTCTTTTGGGGTAAAACCTTATTAGAATGATGGAATATTTTTCAGGAGATGAAGAGCTGACAGGGTGTGCACTTGCTCTTTTTGTGACTCATTGTGTTTGAAAAGCTGCCTGTCCAGCGCCTCACGGTCCAGTTCCACTTGGACCGGTTCTAGGCAGCGGGGAGACTGTCCCCACCCTCTTGGCACAGTGAATAAAAGGGCACCTCACTGTGTGGTCTTATTACTGCCCCCCCCCCCTCCCCCCTTAGCTTTGCCTGGACTGGGAGTCCCTTCTGCCAAGTGTCCCATGTCTACCTTCACAACAGCTCCCCCCGCCGGTGTGGAGGATGCATCGTTCCGAGACACAGAAACCAAACAATCACAAATAAGATCCTTAGAGAATACATTACCCAGAAGTCTGTGCTCTTCTTATCAATATGCTTCAGTCCAAAGATTTGTATGCACTGTATCTAAATGTGCTGCGTATAATATTTTATGAGAAAACTGTATTAAAAGTGAGGCAAGACGTAACAAAGGAATGTCCACACATATAAATGTACGCCTACAGATCTGTTAAAGAAATCTACAGCTGTAAAAGTTAAGAGGATGTATATTAACTGCATTTCGGCGAGATGCATTTCGAGTTATGATGGGGAGAAAGTGAGCGAGGCAGAGTGTCAAGGAATTTCAGCAAAGTTCCAACAGTAACTATAAAAAAAAAAAAAATCAGACAAACAGGAGCCTTCTTCCGTGCAATGCCAACGCTTTGAACGCTATAATGCTTCGATACTCCCCGATCCCTGCTCCTCAGAAATATGTGAAGTCATTTCAGGGCGGGATAAGCCAAAATACAGTCATGTGTGTGAAGCACTTTGTCTTCTCAGTCCCTGCGAAGACTAACGTGGGTCAGACCGATGACTCCTTTAAGGAAAGCCGCAGTATTTAATCCACTGCTGCCGCAGTCTGTATACAACAAGTCATCCAGACCTCAAATGCAAATAGCTTTTCGATGCATTAATGTCTGTGCTTCTGTATGTAGCTTATCATATAAATAATATAAATTCCACAGAGCTGGTGTCCTTAAGACTTCTCAAGACTTCTCAGCATATTATAACGACCTCTCTGGTCATGCCCCTCCCTTGCCATATTCCCTGGGGGGGTGGGGGGTGAGGCCATTGGATGAATGAGAGGGCACAGGCTTCACAGCTCTGTATTTAATGCATGTGGCCTGCCTATTTTGGTTTGTCTGCCTGCTTCGGTTTGTCGGCCTGCTTTGGTTTGTCTGCCTGTTTTGGTTTGTCTGCCTGTTTTGGTTTGTCTGTCTGTTTCAGTTTGTCGGCCTGCTTTGGTTTGTCGGCCTGCTTTGATTTGTCTGCCTGTTTCGGCCTGCTTTGATTTGTCTGCCTGTTTCGGTTTGTCTGCCTATTTTGGTTTGTCTGCCTGCTTCGGTTTGTCGGCCTGCGTATTTTGTCTGCCTGTTTCGGTTTGTCTGCCTGCTTTGGTTTGTCTGCCTGCTTCGGTTTGTAGGCCTGCTTCGGTTTGTCTGCCTGTTTCAGTTTGTCTGCCTGCTTTGGTTTGTCTGCCTGTTTCGGTTTGTCTGCCTGCTTTGGTTTGTCTGCCTGTTTCGGTTTGTCGGCCTGCTTTGGTTTGTCTGCCTGCTTCGGTTTGTCTGCCTGCTTCGGTTTGTCGGCCTGCTTCGGTTTGTCGGCCTGCTTCAGTTTGTCTGCCTGCTTCGGTTTGTCGGCCTGCTTCGGTTTGTCTGCCTGCTTCGGTTTGTCTGCCTGTTTCAGTTTGTCAGCGGCGTCGGAGCACACCAGAGCAGCCGTCTTCCTGGGTGTTTTTGTGCAGGGATCAGCAGAATCTGTTTTCATTATTGCCTCAATGTCTGTGAGAGTATGTGGATTCGTTTTATATTACATTGTGGGGACCAAATGTCCTCCACAATCTAATACAAACCTGTTTTTTGACCATTTCAAAAAAGTAAAAATGCCAAAAGTCTTGTATTTTGTTTGATTACTTATGTTTAACATTAGGACTGGGTTGGGGTTAAGGTCATCATGCTGGGATTAGAATTTTCCCCATAAAAATGAATGGCGAGTCCCCACAAAGATATAATTACAAACCTGTGTGTGTGCGCGCGTGCGTGCACGTTTGCGCGTGTGTGTGCATATGGGGGGTCCGGGAAGCCCTCCAGCATATGCTGTCTTGGCAGCTCCATCGTTTCTTTTACTGAGAGATGCAGGTCCCCCCCCCTTTCTGCCCCCCACCCCCCACTCTAGTCTGTGTTTTGGTTGTGTGTGCTGACTCATTGCTGGTCAGTTTTCGGGGGGGTTGGAGCTCCAGACTTGGAGTTTGAAGTCGCTCAGCTCTGTGCCGTGACTGATTCCCTTCCAGTCTTTTAGAACTTCACGTGCATCATTCTGTTGCCATGTTCATACTGGAATGGTCCTGTTGCCATGGCAACCAAGATCAGCAACCATAAATCCCAGGCAACGGGTCATTGCAACATGAATTTTTCATGGTGTGTATGTATGGGTTTTTTTATTATTATTATTATTGTTATTTTCTTTTGGCAAAAGTGACAGGTTGATGAATCTTAGTACAGCAACATTTCTTTTGTTATTGCACATCTATTTAATGGCTATTGAGTTTTATGAGGTTTGAAACTTCAGTTTGGCTACTGTCTTACATCTTGAAATAATAAACAACAATAGTTTCAGCAACTTATGTCCTCACATATGAGTACATGCTGTGTTTGAACAGGGAATTTTGTCATTATTAAATGAAAATATAACAACATGGGCAAGAAAACATTTCTTTTTGCATTAATTCATTACACTGACAATTAAATAATTTTCCACATCTGTTGTTCATGATTATATTTTTAAGCAGCAGTTTCTTATATTCCCAGTGCATCACACTGAATAATGCTGTTTCTTATTTACCAGAAAGCAACAATAAATACAACACAAATGAATAAAAATAACTCTTTATCACTTTGTGACAGTTTTGATAACTCTTTGATGTGGTATGGACTACAGTATAGTAAAGTTTTGTATAGTATAGTACAGTATTCCTTATTCCCGATTATCAGTAACCAAATCATCTTACTTGGAAGCATTTTAACAATGTGAATAATTTAAGTGTTTTTATATAAAAAATATCTCATTGCAGTCTGAAGTCATACTTCCTCCTGCATTTCTAAGCTACACTAACTTCGTTACTCATTCATAGCAAACTAATAAAAAGCATGCAAACTAATAACACCTCTTTGCATAATTAGAAATGCACGGAGCCATTATCTCCTGTGCTGTGCCTGACGGGCCATAAGTATTCGAAACAGCTGATAGATCCCGTTATTGCACAAGTATCCTTGGTATTAAAAACATAAGTGAAGGTTAAGCAGGCTCTGTAAACATCTTTTAACAGCTGCATAAGAAACTGAGCATCAGGATGATTTTTCTTCTGCATGGTGAGTATGATAGAACATCACATCCCATCAGCAAGATGTACTGAACCTCCTTCTACACATTCACACAGATTATTCCGGATTCATCCGGGGACTTCTGAGAATCAATCACACTCTTCCTCCCCGCGAGCAGACTTTTCTGCAAAACAGGTGGGGACTGGCTTGTGGATTTTATGACGAATCGGGCCACGGCCTCATTGAACTCGGGCAGAAAATTCATTTGAAGCGTCACACTTCTTCAATTTGTCAGGCTTTTGTGGGAACAAATTCCCAAAATGTGAACACGGATCAGATTACCACATAAGAAAGAGCCGAAGCCATAACGTGCAGTTCGGCTGCTGTCATTGTGCCTTAGAACGACACTCCTGCGCGATGCCTGTGCATAATGCGACATTCTGCTGCATGTAGCAGCTCCTGCACGACACTCCTGCGCGATGCATGTGCATAATGCGACGTTCTGCTGCATGTAGCAGCTCCCAAAACCCCGAGGGAAGCCAACCGTGGTGGTATCCCGTGTCACTCCGGTGCCGTGTTAATGTCACTGGGAAAACATAGATTGATTTTTCACATTCACATTACACATTACAAGAATTCACATTACAAGAGAAGGAAAGGCGTCAAACTCAGATGTGAAAACTGACCTAGAAGAGTCTCGTAAGCCCATAGAAGAACAACATCTGTAAATTTGAGCGTCAGGTTTTGAACGCTAACGTCGGCCGTGGCGAATCTTCCCTGCTGCCGTGCCCTCGGGAGAGCGAGTGAGAGCGAGAGAGGAGCGTCCTCTAAAAACCGGGTAATTAAAGCAAAGAGCATGACTCAGCCTTTGAAAACTCCGTGGGAACTTATGGGTCTAAGTGGGAAGAATGATGCAAAGTCCCCCGGGCTGGAAAACATCCACGAAGACAAGCCAAGGACTACCATAAACAAGACGCTTTGAACGCCTGCTGTTTAGACTAGCATATAAGGTTTTTTTTCCCTTGCTGCTGTCATATTATTATTTTAGTGCCAATTTAACATATTTGCATTTATTTATTTATTTATTTTATTTCTTTATTTTATGCTGTGACGCCTCATGCGCTCATATAAAACTTGCCTGGACAGCTTTGTCTGAAAATCAACAGCACATAAAACCGGACCCATAAATCTCCAACCAAGTCAATCCAGCTCAATAAAAAGGTACCGTTAAGAAGAAGAAGAAAAAAAGAATTTGAGGGGAAAATACAATTTAGTGGCTAATCTCCGGTGGTCATGCTCAGTGGGCTTTCTTCCGTCCTGCGGGAAAGTTGATCTTCGGTGCTGAAATCTAAAAAAAAAATAGAAAAATAATTAAAAACCACAACATCAAACAGAGGACGTCGTAAAATTTAATCCCCAAGGGGCTCTTGTGTTTTCACACGTGGCACATGGACCGTACGTGTGGAAAATCCACCTCGCTGCTTTGGGTGCTGGTAGCAGGTAGAAGCCCTAAGACACAGGCCAAACGTACGGCACCATACTCCGCCGAGCATGCTATGGTGCAGATTTATGAAAAATTCAGAAATTAGATGCTGCGGAGCTCCGCCATTTTGCCTTTTTTCCACTTAACCTGACACAGAACACATACAACAACTCTGCAAGTTCACACTTAGCTACTAACTTACTTCCGAAGCAAAACCTAACTCAACTGAAATGAATGATCTTCAGCAGATCGATGCTAATACTACAGAGATTTATGTATTTTGTAAAATAAATGTTCATAGGTAAACTGTAGTATATTATTATAAATGTTGCTGTCAGTCACAGCCCAGCTACCTACAAATAGGTACCTAAAGTAATCTGGTCAGCTGTGAACAAATACCTACTGTACTTTTCCAAAATTCCCAAAAAGGCTTCACATTTGACATTCCTTCTTTGTTGTTTTATTGGTGTATTCAGCTGGCAAACATCTGTATGTTGCGCTCGTCTTATCTTACGTTAACCAGACCACTGAACTGCAAAACTGCAGCACAAATGCCGGCTTTCTAGAGAGCGATAGCTTAGCTTTTGGATAATTTGGCATGAGAGCTGGGACCTCAACTGATGTATAGTTTCAGTCAGGACAAAAACAGCTCATTTCTGTATAGCAAAATATGCTATTATTTCTGCATGTGTTACAAGTGTGCATTTTTGTTTAAAGAAAATGTTAATAGTGTTTATATTTGCAGCTGGGGGTTAAGGGCTTTGCTCAGGATTCCACAGGCCCATGACTATTGCTGCTGAGGCCGGGGCTCAAACCAATGACCTTCTGATCACGGGCACAGAGCCACTCCCTGCCCCCCACATACAGGACATATCAGGAGTTCTCAGACTTTTCGATCAAAGGCCCACACCAGATCTTTCTTCAAAGTCAGAGGCCTGGAAAATTTTTCAATAACAAAACAGCATTTCATGAACTCTAATGAATTAGCAATAACTTTCTATACAGACATCAATACATAACAATAATGGGTCCTTGTTTTAATGCTCACTGATTGTTCTTGTACTTCAAACCACGGTAACACTTTTTACGTTAACTTTATCGATTCACAAGGTATATTGTCGGCTGGGTCCGGAATAAGCTGACGTTCAATCCGGAATTTAAATCCATATTTAAATATTCAAATGCTGTTTCCTGCAGTCACAGATTATATGTTGCAGTTGTGACACCAGCTTTAGAGCTGAGACGAAACTTAAAAAGTTAGAAAGGTCATAAGAAGGTCTGTATAAGAGCTAGAGGTGTGTCTCAGGGTGGGACGTACAGTGGCACGGACTTACAGAGCGATGCTGTCCCGTCATTCACCTGCTGGCTAATGCTGTCCGATTCACAGTGTCACCTGATGTTAATAACCTAAAGCAGCCTAAATGTCCTTCAAACGTCATGTAACTCATTCCTCTTTTCTGCCTCTGTCATTTGTTTTATTGAAAGACAACACAATAAAGCTATTGTCAGAATTTATTCATAATTCGTCGTTAAGCGGCTCTGTGAGTAAAGGGCCAAAATATTTTGGGAAGTGTATTTAAAAACAGTGTGTGGTGTCTGCATGTTCTCTCTGTGTTTGTGTGGGTTTTCTCTGGCCACTCAGGTTTCCTGCTACAGTCCAAAAACTTGTGTTCAGGTTAACTGGGGTATTTAAATGGCCTTGTGTATACGTGTGTGTGTGTGTGTGTGTTTCCCATAGGGGAAAGCTCAATTTAATAAAAATCTGTGACTGCAATGAAAAAACTAAAAATGCAAAACTCTTGTATTTTGCTTGGTTACTTACGGTTATGGTTAGGGCTGGGTAGCGGTTAGGGTTGACATAGTTAGCGTCAGCATTTTTCTCATAGAAATGAATAAATGGTCCCCAGAAAGGTATGTTTACCCAACATGTGTGTGTGTGTGGGTGTGTGTGTGTGGATTATGTTTATATTACAATGCAGGGACCACAAAGATCTATCAATGCAATCAAAAAAATTAAAATGTCAAAAAAGCTCATATTTTGTCTGGTTATTTATGGTTATGATTAGGCTGGGTAGGGGTTAAGGTTGTCATAGTTAGGTTAGATTCCTTAGAAATTAATGGAGAGTCACCACACCTAATCTGTGTATGGGTGGGTGTGTTTATGCATGAGTGGCCGAAGCAGGACTGGGATCATATCCATGCTGCCCCCTGCTTCCTGGTAAAGACTCCAGTTTCCCTGTGTGAGAATGACCAGGATAAGACGGACAAACTCATCACCTGTTTAGTACAGTAGAAGTTTCCAGAATGCTCAGCTCTATGCCCGGCTTGTTATGACACCAAACCCAATATGAGCAGGTTAAGAAACCAGTAAAGAGAATGACCAAAAAGTCCCTGTTTTCTCCTTTGAATATGGATCTGAATTGCGTCAGGAATATTTGGCCGCATTTACTGGTACCGCTACAAGCGATCTGCTAATGAAGTCTCATTGTATAGAGGTGTCTGTCCAATGATCAGAGCAGGAGTCAGAGGAATGATCTCACACCAGGAATGAGGAGGTCGGAAACTGAGTGAAAGCGCTGAGAGCCGGGGGCACGGGCAGGGCTGGGGCTCAGCGCTTCATCACACCCATGTGAAAGAGGAGATCTCAAACCAGTTTCAGAAATCCACCCGCCAAGAGCTGACGTTACTGTGCGTGACAGCAGTGGCTGTTTTGCAGCAAACACTTGTGTTTTTTTCTCTTTTTTCTTTTTGTTGGTACTGGACAGTGATTGGAAGATTGGAAATACATTGCATGTACTACCCAGGCTTTGTTCGGCGTATACTATGACTCCTTCTCAGTGCTGCATAATCTCAGGGAAGTTCTGTTTTTGCCGAATGAATGTTACTGATATTTCTTCCCACTACTTCAGAAATTAAAATAAAGAGTGGAGAAACCATTTCGTAATGCTGCCAGTTTTCAGGGAATATTAGCTCACGGTGAGCGAGGGAGCAGTCCATTTCTCGCTCAAGTAGGGAGTTCTGTTCTCCGGTATAAGCATAGGAATGGTATGATCCAGTATAGTTGTCACATCAAGCTTTAGACTCAATTCATTTAGTGAAATTAGACAAGTTTGATTTTGACTACGACTTCACTAAGATCCAAATAGTTAAAAAAAAAAAAAAACCTTGAAAATATTGAGTGCATTAGGTAAACAAATGATGTTTTGTCATGTGAGAAAGTCCAGCTCACCCGTCTGGTATCACTCTCTCTCCCAAGAGGTCATGTTAACGAAAACCTCACCACAATCCCCCCGACCCCCCCCCCCCCCCCCACCCACAAAACCTAGCTCCCTCAAGACAAGCAAACCACATCCTGAAAATGGGAGTGCTAGAGGGACCATTGGTTACCTCAGCAGGAAAGCTGGGGATTGCTTACACAATCTGAACTTTTCACTGGGATTTCTTTTTTCCTTTGGTCAACCTGACAATATTACAGCTTTCGCTTTTGTCAGAATCCAAAAGTAGGGCTGTGTGTGTGTGTGTGTGTGTGTGTGTGTGTGTGTGTGTGTAAAAATAGTTCTTCTATTGACGGACTGGATCCATGTAGTTCCTAAGTATTTTTAGCCAAGGTGAGAAACACCCTTCCACTTCACATCATCCCCCCAGGAGAACAGGTGATACTAACTAAGAGGCTGTGTGGACACCTGGCCCCCACAGGATCCTAGATCTAATCTCTGGATGCTGATCAGGCAGGGAATATCTGCGGTGGGTCTGACCCCTCATATCAGCCACAGGCCACTGCAGGTGTGAATATTTACGTTCATTCCAAACATTGATGTAAAATCTTTTAAACACTCTACTGTCATAAGGCTGTTGTCACTGAAAATGCTCTTTACCCAAGACAGGCCCAGACCAGCTTAAAAAACAGCCAAACTTCAGTCATCTGTGAACAGCAGTTTTCGCTCCCCTTAAGCTGTGACGTGCCATCACCAAAACGTAGCATCACATCATTTTTTTCCATGAATAGGTTTGCCAAATCACGTCGGTCATCAGTGGAGGGGGAAAAGAATGTCCTAAATCCAATACGAGATGACAGAGAAATCTAGCTTGTTATTATTGCTACGTAAGTCTTGTGAGCGTAAACTGAGAATAACACCAATCAGGATAGGAGGCCGACACGGTGACCTGCTAAATGCACACTGCTTTTGTTAAATTTCTCTTCAACAGATTTTATTCTTAATTTTATTATGCAAAAATGATTAAAGGCTGGTGTCTGCCTGCTCACACTGCAAAGTAAACATAGAGGGAAATTGTAATATAATAAGCAACTTATCTTCATAAT